AAACAAAAACACCCATCAAAAGACCCTAGAATTAATAACCAAATTCAGCAATATGGCAGGTTACAAAATCAACACAAAAAGTCAATATCATTCCTTTACATCAGTAATGAACTGAGAAAGAAATTCAGAAAGCAATACCATTCACAGCTTGGAACTAACCTGACTAAGGAAGTGGAAGGCTTTTATAATACATTCTATAGCACTGTGAAAATGGAGACAGGGGCCTGGGGATTTAGCTCAGCCGCATAAGCACCTGCCTTGCAAGCATGCAGTCGTGAGTTCGATTCCTGGTACCGATAAAAAGGAAAAAGACAAAAAAAAAAAAAAAAAAAAAAAAATGGCGACTGAAGAAAACAATATCCCCTCTGTGTGGACAGGAAACAATATTCCCAAAATGATCTTACTTCCAAAACTGATATATAGATTTAATGCAACCCCAATCAAAATTACTGCCAGCATTTCTCAAAGATGAATAAACTTTCCTAAAATCCATATAGAACCAGAAGAGAAGCAGAAAAGTAAAAGCGATTGTAACAAGAACAAAGCATATCCCAGATTCAAAGTTATAAAGCCAAAGTGATAAAAACAACATAAAACTGGTACAAAACAGACATACAGATCAATAGAAATACACAGAGGAAACCGAAGCAACCCCAGGCACATTTAGCTATTTGATCTTTGACAAAGAGTAAAAAACATAAGCTTAAAGAGAATTTTTCATAAACCATTCTGGCAAAAGTGAATATTTACATGCAGAAGACTGAATCTAGACCTATCTATCTCACAATGTAGTAATTTAAACTGAAAATGGATCAAAAGTCTAAAGGTTAAAACAGAGACACTTAAACTGATGGAAGATAAAATAGATAACCTTGTTGAAGACACAGACATAGGCAAAGACTTTTCTGAACAAAATCCCAAATAAATAAGAAAGACTAACCAGAATCCAAATGAGATTACAAAGCTTCTCCACAGGAAGAAAAACCACCAGAAGATGAAGAGACAATCTGCCATGTAACAAAAAATTTTGCCAGGTCTTCCTCAGACAGAGGACTAACCTCTGGAAGAATAAATACTTCGAAAAGAAAAACTTGGGCTCACCCACAAAATAAAAGACCTACAAATGGACAAATGGACAAATGGACAAATGGACAACTGACATGAAAAGGTGTCCAACATCACTGGCCAAGTGATGTTGGTGAAACACAAGTTAAAGTAACACTGAGGTTCCATCTTACTCTGGAAAGAATGGCCATCATCAGGACATTTAATAATAACAAATGCTGGAGAGGCTGTGGGAAAATGAAATTGTCCATATTGTTAAGAGAAATGTAAATTAGTACAAACAATATGGAAATCAACATGTAGATCATTAAAAAAGTTAAAACGAGAAACGCATTTGATTCTGGCAATCTCCTTTTTAGGTATCTTCTTGAAAGAGCTGAAGACATTACACTACAGTGATGTATGCATAGCCTTGTTTGTCGCAGCAAATTTAGTAATGGCTAAATTTGGAAATGGTCTATATGCCATCAACAGAGGAATGGATAAAAAAAAACTTGCTGGTTATTCACAATGAGATATTCTAAACACACATACACACAAAAAACTTGAATCATTAATGTGTAAATGGAAACACCTTGAGACTATAATATTAAGTGAAATATATATGATCTATAAGTTCAAATAGCAAATGGTTTCTCTTATATGAGAAACCCAAAATTTAGGAAAAAGCAAAAGAAAGGACAGAAAACCTGAAGTTGGGAGATTTTTTTTTTAAACATGGAAAGGGGTTGAAAACAAATAAAGAAACAATAAAACAGGAATAAATCATTTGCAAATAAGAAGGGAACTTAAGTGTTGGAAGCAGCAGGAAGGGAAGGAGGCATAAAAAGGATTAAGATGCACGGTGTACCTGTATTGACTACAATCATTATGTACTGCAAACTTTTAATAATAAAAATTTATGATTAAAAATATTGTAATGGGGCATCAAAGAAAAGCGTTGCTCAAGAATATTGTTAATCAGATATATTGCATTGATTCTTTTCTAAAGAACACAAATAAAATCTTATTAATGGCTTCTCTTTTGCTGCATAATAACAGCAAAGCACTCATTACCCTCAATATGTGACTTTGCTTGATTCCATAAGACATTTTAACATTTTCAACTAGAACAGTATGAGTCAGTTACTGAAATCCTAGTAAATTGATGAACTCTCTCTTCCTAAAGTAATGGACTTTATTGTGTCAAGTGGTTTTAGGTTTAAAAAAAAAAGTTGAGCAGACTGCATAGAAATGTATTTTGTCCCCAGAAAGATTTCTCTATTTTTTTATTTAAAAGGAAAAAGAGAAAAAACAAAACAAAACAAAGCTGTATAAGGGTACAAGTAATACAGAACTACAAAAAAAAAAAAAAAAAAAAAAAAAGAAAAAGAAAAAAGACAGTAAGAAATCACCTGTTAATAGATTACATATTATCATCTTAGAGATAGTTGCTCAAGTCACAGTATCAAAACATACAAAGTGGACATTCAAACAGTGAGACTGCAAACAGTTGTGTTCAATGATCCAACCAAAAACATTAATATGGTCAGCTATTTAACACCCCAAACACACTTGCTGTTGTATCCTTTAGAGCTCTTCTTTTTCCCTCTCTTTTTTACAACAAAATTTACACACTTTGGGTTTTATTACTCCTTAGTTCTTATTACTTTTTTGGGGGAGAGAAGATTTCTCTATTTTTAATCTCTTGGTTTAAGGTGCTACAATTGAGGAAGCCAAAGTGATACACTATTATGAATTAAAATCCCCAGTTTATTATCTGAATATCCAAGCTCAACATTTTTTCCTGTCTTGCCCAATTCTTTCAAAGCTACCCTACCTAATACCATCTCTATATGTTTAGCCATTTCCAAAATGTGACACAGTTGGAATTATATAATATAAAGTCTTCAGATTTGATTTTTCATTTATAAATAATCATTTAAAGCTACTACATAATTTTCATGGATTGACAGATCATTGATTTACCTTTATTGCTCAGTAATATTTCACTACATGTACACCATAGTTTATACATCTTCTTACTGAAGGGCATACCAGGTGCTGATCAACCCTCTTTTTACTTTTAGCAATGAATAAAGCTGTTAAAATCCCTTGTGTTTAGGTATTGGTGTGGACATGAGTTGCCACCTCTTTTTAGTAAATATTAAGGAATGTGATTGTTCAATGATATGATAGGAATATGCTTAGTTCGTCACAAATATCTAAAGCACCTTCCACACTAATGCATTTTGCACTACCCCATGTAATGTAAAAGATCTCCGGATGCTACACATCCTTGCAAGTGTTTAGCATCATCCTGTTTCCGACCCCGCCATTCTATTTGGTATATGGCGGCACATCATTTTTAAAATTTGCAATACTCTAATGATGAATCCCTTTTGAATACTTTTCCAAATACTTAGTTATGATCTGTAGTTCATTTTTAGTAAGCTGTCCTGAGTTTTTGGGTGTATTTAAAATTAGGCTGTTCATTATGATAGACTTTTACACATTCATTGTGTGTTTTGAACATCTTACATATCTTTTGCAAATATTTTCTTTCCATGCTGTGCTTATTTTTTTCGCCGTCTTTCACCAAGGCAGTGGCTATTTTTAATGGGATCCAAAAGATCAATTTCTCTTTCATGTTTCACATTCTGGAGCTGTATCTACACTAGTTATCCAAATAAAGGTCACTCAGATGTTCTTTTATGCATTTTCTTAGGATTTTAACTATTTAGTGTTTTCAGTTTAGAATTGTGTTTCATTCTGCATTAATCCTTGTAAAAGTTTTAAGGGTTTTAAGGGTTGAAATGCATAATACATATGCATTTTTCATGGGACATCCAGTTGTCATAGCCTCAATTCCACAAAATATTATCTTTTGTATCTTTCCCTCCTTTGTGAAGATTTAGTGACCATTTTTGTCAGTCTATTTCTGACTCCTTCATTTCGTTACACTGATCTTTGTACTCTTTGGTGATACCAAAAGTCTTGATTAATCTAAGTTTATAAGTCTAGAATCAAAGTCCCTCTATTTATCTGTCACTATTTTTGGACAATTCTATGCTATTAATTTTCCATATGAACTTCAGAATCATTTTACTAATATCCACTAATAACATGATGAGATTCTCACTGAAATTTGTGTTTTACCTATGGCTTTCCTAAAATTCTAAAATTCTAAAATTTTATATACATTGAATATTCACATCCATGAAAATGAACTGTCTACCCATTGAGTCATATTTTCCTTATTTCTTTCTTTAGAGCTTTTCAGTTTTCCTGAAATAGGTTATTTCCTTATTTTTATGCATTTTATCTAATTCTTTGAGTTCTTTTTAGTTGCGTCCTTTGTTTAAAGTGGGTTTCTTGTATACACCGTGCCGCTGAGACGTTTATTTGTGTTTAATTTTAGTCATTTTTTTTTTTTTTTTGTCTTTTAGTGACAGGATCTCACTCTACAGGTGATACAACTACTTCTGGTCCTCACTGAGCCCGAGCTATGCCATTTGAACTTTGAGTCTTCAGAACTGTAAGTTCAAACATATCACTTATTTTTAATTACTGTCTGGTGTCAGGCATTTCACTGCAGTTAGAAAAATCTCATTGGTACAGTAGGAGACATGTTCAATAATCTCTTCAACTCAGAAGAGTTTACGGGTAAAAACTATGCCCTGCTCAAGAATCATTTCGTTTTACCCTGGAACACTCAGGCAGATATTTCCTAGGTGACTTCTGCAGTTCACGGAGACCATGCCTTGAGTTTTGGCCAATTAAATGTAGGGAAAACAGAAGATCCCAGTGCTATTCTGAATGCCTAAAGTCTCCTAGTGTTTCACCATGTACCCTACCCATGCTGGAGCACAGTATGCACGCACACGGAAAATGATAGTTTCAGAAGACAGACAGAATAGAATATTGAGATTGTTGACCATCTTCATATCACTTACTTTGACTAATGCATGCATCTTTTCTCAGAAGTAGTACGATCCTATAAAAATAAAATAAAACACAATGAAATCAGTAGAATTAGCATAGCAGTTGGCCCGTGCTTATGACTTAGTTATCTGATATTATATGGTAGAATGATAGTGACATACTTATGCTTTGGGCAAGACTGTCCTGGAGATTACCCTGAATCATTCATGTGAGCTTAGATTCACAGAAGCCCATAAATACTGGAACTCTTTCCATATGGAGTCAGAGGATTAGATGAAAAAGACGTTGGATGTTTTCCAAATGTGAGGAGTACAGGAGGTTACCTTTCTGATTTGGGATGTAGTGGCTAAAAACAAACAAACAAAAAACTGTCGAAAGGCCACAGCAGACTCCTGGACCAAGAGCAGGAGAGGACACGGAGATTTCTCTTTTACCACCAAACACACAGAATTCACAGAACTGAATTTTGTCAATAACTTGATTGAATTTTGAACAGATACACCTCCAAAGCTTGTAGAAGAGAACACATCATTGTTGAATTGAATTTTTGTCTTCAGAGATGTAAAAACTACAACACAAATATTTGACAGCCTAAATGTTTGACTGTGAGATGGTAACTGAATATTTTAAAAGCATTGGATATGTGGTCATTTGTTGTGTGACAAGAAATTAATAAATGGGGTAATCTTGAAATTAGAAGAGATAGAACAAGATGGGAAAAATAATGGAACTCAAAATTGTCTACCCTAAAGTGGTAAATAAGGCAATTTAAAACAGGGTAAGAAGTTAACATGTTGTGAAATCCTGTTATGTTCTAGATACATTTGCTTATTTAGCAGATTTCTCTGGACTACCTAGTATTTTTCTAGGTGTCACACTATGCATTGAAATGTTAAGGTGAGCAAAACAGCTTCCATTATGTAAACAACAATCTAGCACAAGACAGAGGCATTAGCACATTTTTGGTTGTAATGTTATATTCAGAAATTAGAGTAAGTGCAAAGGAGAGAGGTACAGTGAGGGACCATATCTTATTAGAAATAGAGGTCAAAAAAGACATCTTTGGGGCTGAGGATTTAGCTCAGTGGCCTAAGTGCCTGCCTTGCAAGCAGGCAGTCATGAATTCAATCCGTGGTACCGATAAAAAGAAAGAAAGAAAAAAGACATCTTTGAATAAATATTTAAAATATTCTAAAAGGTGGCATTTTGTATTATCTCATTGACTTCACAAAATCTTGTAAGGAAAACACACACCTCTTTATTTGTTTGTAAGGAAACTCGATTAAAAGGGATTGAGTAATTTATCTGCCTCACATCGCCGCTGGCATTTCTGGGATTCACATCTGAATTTTCCTCTTGTAGCATATGCTCTCCAGCTAATCTTTAATTGCTGCAGAAATTAGATAAGATGAGTAATGAAAAGCATCTATCTGTACGAGCAGTGAGGGAAATCGTTTCTTATTGCAAGCAGAGATAACAATGAAAAGCAAAATCACAGGCAAATGAATTGTACTATGGCAGATAAAAAATCATCAGAAAGATAGTTGAAAGAAGTTTGTTATTATTGGCATTTTATTATTTTTTATTGCTGCCATATCAAAATTCCACATGCTTCATTGCCAAGAATAACTCCACTTTACTAGTTCACAATTCCTATGTCAGAAGCCAGAATGAAATAGGATGCTTCTTGGCTCAGAGATTCAGAAGCTGAGATCAAAGGGCGGCTGCCATTGGTGACTTTCGTCTGGAGAATTGAGTAAGAAAAAACATCTGCTTCCAGCTCACTGAGGTCACTGACAGAATCTACTTCTCTTGACCATCAGACTGCAGTATTTGCTTCTTAACTGGCCCAGGGCCACTCCCAAGGATAAGGCTGCCCCCACCCTTGTTCTCATGTAACCTCACAGCTTGGCAGTCTTAGAGTTCAGGAAGCCACAGCAGAATTTCCATCATGTAGCATGTGCCCTACAAATTTCAGTTTCTTTTCTCACTTATTTTGCTACCAGATAGAAAAGAAACAAAAACATTTCTCTGCTTCTGTAGGGCTATATGAATTTTAAGCCCAATTTAATTGACTGTGGAGTGAAATTTCAACCCCAACTTCCACCCACTCTCAAAGAGGAGGACATTATTCAAGAGATGGCTCACTAGATTTGTTCTTACAACTCTGACTGCTACATACTTGATAATAGTTTTAAGGAGAAAACAGAATATTTGCATCTTAAAATGAATAGCCTTTGAAAGAGTATAAAGACATGAAGGAAAGTCGGAATTATTGCCAAGTTGTTGAACATGATTTTTTAGCATAGTTGACATTTATTAATATATAAACATCTTTAAGTGTAAAACATTTTTGTTGTTGTTTTTGGTCTTTTAAAGAGATCTTTCCTTTCTTGTTCACTAGCTGCAATCTTGTCTTTGAGATATGAAATTCTATCTTCACTTTCATTGAGGCGGTTTTGACAACTTTCAATGGAATTTTTGATTTCCTGTATATCTCATTGAATCTGCTTTATGTATTGTTTGTTTCTTCTATTGTTTATCCAGGGATTCTATCTTTTCACTTTGTTCCTCTCATTTTTTAACTGTGTCTTTTTTAGATGTGTTCAGCATCTTTCATTATTTTTATCATCTCTTCTTTTACCTGGGAGATTATTTCTATTTGAATTCCTTAAAGCTTCCCGGAGTTGCTTCTTTATTTCATTTACTATTATTTCAGGTTTTTCAGGCATATGGCATGTATTTTCTTCTATGTACCTGGCTCCTAGGCTTTCTTGGGATGGGCTGGATGTTTGAGATTGCATTTTTTGGTCTTTCGTTTTGTCATTTTCCTACAAGTGTTGTTCCAAAGCTTTCCCTGGGTGTGTTGGAAATCATCTCCTATGTCCTGGGCTCCTGGGACTCCTCTGGCAGTATACCTCGCTCCTTGGGTAGCGAGGCCCCCAGATTAAAAGGTAACCGGCATGGCTCAGGTAGTCCTGAACCCGCTGAGCCCAGTCCAGCGTGGCTGCAAGCCGGGCGGCTCCCAGACCACCAGGAGAAGGATCTCAAACTCTCCCAGGGCTCCGACGGTGCGCAGGAACCCACATCCTCAGGTGGCAAAGCTATCTGGACTGCAAGAAGGTCACCAGCACTGCTGAGGGAGGCCTCAAACCTCCTCCACAGCACAGCTTCCTCATCCAGGCTGCAGCTGGATGAGACAGAGTCTTACTGCCTGTAGTTCAGACTTGTCATGAACTCACTTTAGTCCAGGCTTACCTCAAACTCGAAGCAGTCCTCCTGCCTCAGCCTCCAAAGTGCTGGGAATACAGGCATGTGCCACCATGCTTGGCTCTATAATGCTCATTACATATATATATATATATATATATATATATATATAATTTTCATAAGTAATATAAACTATGTGCGTTACCTAAACAAGAGTATGTGCATTCACGTCCTCTTTAATGGAGCTGATAAGAACTTAATTGGTGTTGACTGCTCTAAGAATTCCCTTGCTTTTTCAAATCTTACTTTAATTTGATTATTTCCTTTTTTTTCCGAAGCATTTGGTTTTGATTAATTTATCTTGGTCAGTGAGAAATTTAGAGAATGAATAGACGCTCTGTTGGTTACATAAGAATCTTCTTTCCACATTTATCTAGGTTAGCTTTCCATCACTGGGACAAAATGCCTGGAAGAATTCACTATAAAGGAAGAAGAGTTCACTTTGTGTTCATAGGCTTCAGATAAAGTTGCTTTTGGATCTCACAGAAGGAGTGTGTACAGTTGGAAGGTGTCACACCTCATGGTGGTCAAGGGACAGAAAGAGCAGCCTCTGTTTTATAACAAAGCCCCTCCGCCCAGAGAATTCACTTAGCGGTTCACAAGTGAACTAATTCGCTCATGAGGTCAGAGTTTTCACAAGCTATATCACAAGCTATATCAATGGCTCCACCTTTGTGCATGGTTGTAAGTGGACAGGACACCTTAAACATCTGAACATTCGGGGGCATCTAAGACCTGGACCACAACAGTGTCTGAGAATGACGTTCTCATGACGAGCACTCAAACAGGAGCGATTTCACAGCCATGACCGCAACAAAAGTATGTACGGTTTCTTTTTCATGAAAACTGTTTGCTTAGTGTCAGACAAAGTTATTTCCAATAGTCATGGTAAATAAGACATCATAATAGGTAGTGCTGGTTTAATATCCTCTTGTTTTGAATTCCCATCAAGCTTTTGTTCTTCTGTCTCCATCAGTTTTAACGTGTTGTATCTTACTGGATTTTATTATATGTGATAATATAAACAAAAACTTATAGACAAGGAGATAATACAGAAACCATTGTTCATTTTCTGTTATTTGATTCTAAATACCCTGTAATACTGTCATTCTCTTGAACAGTTTTACATTGTCTTGATATGTTTGATGCTACAGTATACGAAGTTGTACCCAAAGATTTTAAGGAAAGAGACACTATGGTAACTACTATTATGTCGAGATTATCTTGTGGTGAAACACTATTTTGCTTAAATGGCTATGTCTTGACCTGCGCTGTTTTGTTTTTATGCCCTCTTTTTTAATCTCAATCTCCTTTTTATTATCTACTTTTTCATTTTTATCCCTTAATTAAGGGAAAAATAAATAAAAAATAGCAGGATATATTATAGTAACCCACACTGATTTCCTATTAACTTGATTTGAAACCCTGTATTGCTCTCACCATCTTGTTTTGACTGATTTTCCTCTATTCTGTTATGCTTGATAGTACCAAGTTCGAAAATATAGGCAACAACTATGAAGAAAATAAGATTCATTATGACACTCATTCTGGTTGACTATTTTCTTTTTTTGAAGTTCTCTAATGTCTCCAATGTTTTGGTTTTATTGGTCTTGTTCTTCACTGCTTTGTTCAATTTTATTATAACTGATGATATAGGCAATTCTTTTTAAGATAGTAAGAGGCATTTGGTAACCATTGTTGATCACTTTGTATTTTGTTTTTATATTATGTATTATGTCCTTCCTTTTGATTTGACTGACTCTGTCCTGTTATGACACATTT